CTACTATAAAGTAGAAGTTGTCGTACCTTTTTAGTAGGGTCCATTTCCATACGAAAAGGACTAGCTATTTAGTTAGTAAATGTACCTCATTGACATGTCATTTATATTACATTTGCTTTCCCAACATCATGAAACCGCCTCCCGTTAGTCATGCATTTTCTGATAAAAAAACATACATTTGCCTATCCAATGGTATGGAAACTATGCAAATTTGGGGCTCCAATTTCTAGCTGAAAATGACCCATATGTATGTATCCCAAAAGTAACCATTTGTCCATTTTCCCAATATATATATCACATACGCTATATAATACAACACATCTCAGCATGGCACCAATTCGCCCGCCCATATCATCCACCTCTACACACTATCCTCCGCATCCTCCCACTCGCCCACATCATCCAGGAGATCATGCTCCATGGTGGCATCACTGCTGTTGGAACCCGTCTTCTTCTTCTTGCCTTTCTCGGGCTCCACCTGGGCATATTCGAACAGGAGAGCAACCTCCTCCTTCTCGGCGGCATCAGGGTCAGCCCCATCGGGAACAAGGTCGGGGAAGCCGCTGCCTGAGATCACCACGGTCTCGGTGGGTCCAAACACCCACCCCTGATACTGCTCCGACCATGCAGGAAGCTGGTCATCCGGGGACTCTTCGAGGGTCTTGCGAATGGCAGCCTTCACCTTGTGGTGGTAGCTGGCAATGTCAGCTGCATTGACATCCGCATCCGTTGGAATGCATTTGCCACGAGCCTTGTGGTGCACGACTGAATATTCAACCTGTTACAACGGGGGAGTGAGGATTAAAGGGGAAAGATAGTGTTGGTTAGGCAATTTGGACATGGCAGCCAAGTGGGAGGTGATAGAGCACAAAAGGCATGCGATGACACCTCCACTCCGCGTTCCTGAGGGGTGGTGAGCAGGGAAAGGAATGAACAGCATTAGGAAGAGTGTGCGAGGCGCACCGAGCGACAAGACTGGCACAAATTTAGCCCCTCTATGCTCCTGCCAGCATAAGGGGTGGTTGGAGTGGAGAGGGGCAACATGGGAGAACGGTTGATGCATGTAGTATGGAGTGCACCACGCTGGGCATGGATTCAACGCCCTACAAACTTCTGCAAGTGTGGCAGAAAACGGGAAGGGTGGCAGGGGAAACAGGAAGGGTGCGATTGCTTGACATGAGGGTCAGAGGGAAGATGGTTTGAGGGAAGATGGGGCGACCAACTGGCTATGCAAGGCAATCTTCAAAGCAACCAATCTTACAGCTACAATACAACACAGGAAACTAAGTGCTAGCACATGTGCAAACATAAAAAATCCGCTCATACGTACCAGATACAGCAGATAGGCGATGTGGTACGCCTTCACCACCGTAGCCGACCCGCCAGCTCCCTTCTGAAATGCGTTGCGGACGATGATGTCGAAGAGCACAGTGCCAAACGGGCGCATCGTGCCGTCAGCAAAGTGCCAGCGAAGAAGCCCTCCCTTTTCTGCTCAACACGTACATATAAACAATGGAAATAGACATGCAGTCATTAGTTACATGGAACGATGGGTATTGTCATAACCAAGGGTATGCCAAGAACATACGACGTATACAGCACCATGCGTAACATCTGTGGTTACCAATGCTCACGAACTGCACTTACCAAGAGGCTTGACCAGTGGTGTACCATCCTCGCTCTCCAAGTTGTATACTTGGGTCGGTGTGCGCTCCTCATCACAAATCAGCTCGGTGTAATCGAAATTCAGACGGGGATTTGCTTCGCAAACCAGCCCAAAAGCGTCAGAAAAATTCCGGCGCCCATTCATCGAGATACGCGCACGCCAATCACTCTGCTTGCGCGTTGAAGCGCCTGCCCACGCCACGCAGTACATCATGACTGCTGCCAGCGCGGCAGCCTTTCTCTTGCCCCAAACACCGATGAGGCACCGCATCACCACGCTTTCTGACGGGTACACGCTTGTAACGTCGTCCGGTTGGCGAAAGAACGCCACAATGACAGCTAGCTCCATTTTTTTCTGGTACATGGGAATGCGGAAAAGAATAGGCAGATTAGCAAACTTGGAAACGTGGCAAATCGGCAGGCGAGATCAAGAGGTCGACTAAAAACAAAACAAGGCCACAAAGGGAGGGGCGTGAGAGAAGGGTGAAGAGGGGATGAACAAACAGCAATGCATGCGTGAAATTTATCATGATTCCATTACCAAGACAGCAAAGCCCCTCAGCCATAACCCACACACACACAACCCACCAACCCCCACTCCACACTTTCGATATGGCACTTACGTTCCATGCCTTGCCGTAGGCAGGCAACTGGCGCATGAGGATCTGGTCCCTCAACGGGATACCGCTGAGTGACGTGTGCAGGACTACGTCGCACACGTTACCGTTGTTCTTCAACGTTGGATACTTCCGCTTCCGCGGCCCAGCAGGGGAAGCACGGTTGGACGTCGGGCGCTGCAGCATTTCGCGTTCAGGTGTGGCGACATCAGCATGCTGCGACGTTGGTGCTGATTGTCAACGGGAGTTGTATGTTGGCCCCGTCCTCGCTTGGGCGGAGCCGACTTCGTGGTTGGGTGTAGGGTGCAGCCGACCTGCAGCAGTGGGCGAGTTGGTCGACGAGGTTGGTCGACCTGCACGGGGAGCCACTGCATGGGCGCCGACTTCAGGAGGGCGCCCACTTCGGCTGGTCGACCTGGGAAGTCGACCAGCCCTTCTGGTCGACCTGGGACGTCGACCAGACCTCCTGGTCGACCTGGGACGTCGACCAAACCTTCTGGTCGACCTGGGAAGTCGACCAGCCCTTCTGGTCGACCAGGGACGTCGACCAGGCCTTCTGGTCGACCAGGAGTGACGTCGACTTGGAGCTGGTCGACCAGGGAATAGTGGTCGACCTGGGGAGGTCGACTGGAGGTGGCCGTCGACTTGGGAGGTCGACCGGCACGTCCCAGAGGCAGTGGTCGACCTGGGAGGTCGACCGGAAGTGGTCGTCGACCTGGGTGGTCGACGGGCACGCACTGGAGCCTCTGGTCGACCTGGTTGCCCGGTCGACCAGGTTACCTGGGTGACGAGGTGCTGCGAAGGCTTGCGAAGGTCGCCCAGGTGGTTTTGGCGAGGACGACCTCGGTGATGGTATCCCGAGGTCGACGTGGTGCATCAGATGCAGTCGTCAGCACGAGGTGGACTTGGTGTGTGCGCTGTGCAGGTGACGAAGCGGTGCACGCCAATCATCTACGAGCACCTGCGAAGCGGGTGCGATGCTGGACTGCAGGAGCAACGCTGGCACGCCGTCGACTTGCGCTGTTGTCTCGCCGTCGACCTGCAGCGTTGGCAAGCCGCGTCCATGCACTGCTGGAGCGCGGTCGACCAAGTCGTGCTGGCACGCGGTCGACCGTGCTGCGCTGGCAGTCGACCTGCTTGCATCCTAGCTCTGATGTAGTCTTCCTTAGCCAACTTGATTGTATCATTGTTGTCAACTTTCTCTAGTGAAACTCTTGCCAAATTGCCTTGTGAACTAGCAAGCAGTATGTGCACTAGGAAAACGACTAAGGACCGAGGAACGCAGAGATCACACGAGCACCCGTGCCTAGCCCGCAGCCTAGCTCCCGTTACTAGAGTTATCTCCGCACTGATCGCGGCGTTCCATTGGTGCTTGGAGACCCCAAGGCAGGACTCATTGCACCCCCCCCCCGGGTTCGAGCAGGACCCGTTGTTAAGTTTCTCCAACAGCGACGAAATCAGCAGCGACTGCTGCTGTGTGGTTCGCTCCAATTCAGCAAGCCACCCATTAGCAGCTTGGTCAGATGCCGCGGCAACACCCTCCAGTGGGCTCCCAGCAGGACTTTGCGAGGGAAGCGACGCCCCAGCACGCTCGGTGATGTTGTTCAGCGTGTCCTGTCGCCCGTCCCCTGCAGCAACGACAAAGTGTGTTACGGTTACAGCTAGAATGCAAGCAAAACAGTGGTTCAAAACTGTCTAACAGTTTCAGCTGGAATGCAAGCACAATAGTGGTAAAGTGTGTTGCGGTTAGAGCTGGAATGCGAGCAGAATAGTGGTAAAGTGTGTTGCGGTTAGTGGTAACAGTGCCTCTTACCAGTCATTTCATTCTGCGCCTTCGCGCGTTCCTCTTCCTCGTCATGCTCTTCATCATCAAAGTCGTCAGCATGGACTTGGACCCCCAAGGGAGCGGCATCACCAGCGTCGCTAGCGGGATCAGCTGCGGCAGCAGAGGCGTGGACAATGGTGTTGCCCGCAACATTGTCGACATCATCGCTGTCAGAATCGCCACCATCCTTGCGCGCATTCTGGATCAGTCGGCCGCCAGCAGTCTTGCGCTTCTTGACACCACCACTTAATCGGGTACCAAGACCCCCAGCTCCCTGCATCTTGGGTGTCAGCTTGATGGGGCGCTTGCCTGTCACCTCGCTACGCATAGCAAGACAGTAGCCATAGTTCTGGTGGTTGTGAAGACCGTACCGAGAAGGATAGGAACTAGAAGACGGTTGAATATGATAATGAAGCCCAGCGATGTGTGACTTGTAGTTAAACTCGGCCTATAGACTGCAGCTCCTCCAAGGGCAGGTGCTTGGCGCCAAAGGGCAGGTGAGCACCACATTTGGGCAGGTGAGAGGCAAGGATGCGCAGGTGATCGTAGGCACTTGGCAGGTGTATTGATGTTGTGCTGGCAGGTGATTGAGCGCCTTGGCAGCTGAAAACGCCACCTGCTACGAGCTCTGCTATCTCCTGAGAAAATCTGGGCGAGGAGCAGGTTCGACATATTGTCTCAAAACGAGCTAACAACATAATAGAGGAACGTTTAGCGTTTAACCCTCCTGTGTTGGCGCCAAATGTAAACTATATTTTGGCGCGAGAGCTTCAGGAGGAGTTGGGACATGAGGAAAACAAAGCCAAGTCCTCCTCTGTGCTCTAACTAGCAGTAGAGGGCTTTGTTTGTGCGTTTGAATTACTAAGTTTGAACATTCGAATGAACCAGAAGGCATGTATGGACCACACGATCATTTGGCAACAAGAAATCGTAACCATCGGAACTAGGCAATTGCTACATTGCTGGTGGGTAACAGTGTTCGACGCAACAAGGACGATTGGTGCGGAATTGAATGCAACCAGACAACTTGACTTCTTCCATTCGGAGAATGAATGCACTGTACATGTTTTTATGACTAGGTCCATCTCGTGCCTTCGCTCATTCTTCGCGTTGTCACAGTTGAGTTGGCAGGAAGCATTGGTTTCCGCGAATAGGAGGTGAGGTCGACGTGGAAGTTGCTCGACTCGCCAAAATTGGACCTGGTGAGCAGTACGAACTAGCGACATGTTGCCCAGCCAATCCGTAAACTGTTCAAGTCAACCAAACACTACCGACAGTGTTTCCAGCTGGGCAGTTTCGAACTCTGTCTCAAATGTGAGTAACGACAGAGTTTCCAGCTGGGCACGGCAGTCGCTAACGACCCCCCCTGTCATGTGGTGTGGATCGAATCAAGTCCGATCCTGACTTCGAGGGATTAACTTTGATGACAAATATGCGGCTTAAAACAAATGTACAGCACTATATAATGCGTTCACAAAGCTAGCTACCAATGTAGTCTATGGTAAAAACTTTATCATTTAACTTCAATTTCATTCGCGGTTGCACATACCATGCTTGCAACATCAGCCACAAATGCAACATAAACAAAAGCAACAACAACAGCGACGACGACAACACACCACAACAACAACAGCGGCGACAACATCAGCGCCAACAACAACAGCGACAACAACAACAGCGACAACAACAACAGCGACAACAACAACAGCGACAACAACAACAGCGACAACAACAACAGCAACAACAACAACAACAACAGCAACAACAACAACAACAGCAACAACAACAATAGCGACAACAACAACAGTGACAACAAGAGCAGCGACAACAACAGCAGCGACAACAAGAGCAGCGACAACAACCGCAGCGAAAACAGCAACAGCGACAACAACAACAGCGTCAACAACAACAGCGACAACAACAACAGCGACAACAACAACAGCGTCAACAACAACAGCGACAACGACAACAGCGACAACAACAACAGCGACAACAACAACAGCGACAACATGAGCAGCGACAACAAGAGCAGCGACAACAACCGCAGCGACAACAGCAACAGCGACAACAACAACATCGTCAACAACAATAGCGACAACAACAACAGCGTCAACAACAACAGCGACGACGACAACACACCACAACAACAACAGCGGCGACAACATCAACAACAGCGACAACAACAACAGCGACAACAAAGAATAGCGACAGCAACAACAGCGACAACAACAACAACAACAGCGAAAACAACAACAGCGACAACAACAACATCGACAACAAGAGCAGCGACAACAGCAGCAGCGACAACAAGAGCAGCGACAACAACCGCAGCGACAACAGCAACAGCGACAACAACAACAGCGACAACAAGAACAGCGCCAACAACAACAGCGACAATGACAACACACCACAACAATAACAGCAGCGACAACAACAGCGCCAACGACAACAGCGACAACAACAACAGCGGCAACAACAACAGCGACAACAACAACAACAACGACAACAACAACAGCGACAACACCAACAGCGACAACAACAACAACAGCGACAACGACAACAACAGTTGTGAGTTCTTTTTTCAGGGTACACGGTTTGTGATAATATTTAGCAGCACCTATTTTAAGTTCAACGTTTTCGTGCAAATAATTGTGGAATTAAACGAAAACATGCGTGTGTCCAATTTTCACAGCTCTTTAATTTTGTGTTACACAGGGTTAGAAACAATCCGTGTAAAACTTAAAACGGAGCGAGTTCAACGGTTTGAACTCACGAAGTTGCCAAATTCACCCATGAGGCACAAGTTCCTACCGATGAGGCACGATTCAAGACGATTTGCCGCGAAGCGCACTAGCAGGGCTTCGACCGCCAAGACGCCAAGGGTCGTGCACCTGGAAGAACGATTGCTAGAGATTTAACACTTTGTCGATACGATTTGCTTCTACTTCACAGCATGTCGATCGATCCACATAAGAGCCACGTAGGCATAGAACGCCCTCATTTCCGCAGTACCTTTCACCGAATTTGCGGGATAGGAAGTCAGCGTCGGCTTCATATTTGCCTCTGTTATGGCAGCAACTACGAGAGCACGTTACCTAGTAATGTTATCACTTATACTGTGTGCATGGTGCGCAGCAATCTTCAAGACGCACCGTGCTCTGAAGTCTCATCAGACCAACAGCGTAGAGTGTAGGCTGCATCAAGCTCGCCTTCGTGACGAGGGCTACGAGAACGGCCCGTTAAAGGCAACCGAAGATGGACAGATCCACAAGGATCCGCCACCCGCATGCCATCGTCACAAGCGTAGGCGGGTTGACGATCCGGCAGATCCTACAAGCCCCGCACAAGTGGCTCACACTACCGCGCCACACTTTGATGCGCCAACGAATGAGCAAGAGCAGATCGCCTTTCAGCCAGAGGCCTCGCCGGAGCCGATTGACTTCGATTTCGGTCCAGGAATCTTCGACACGCGTAAAGAGCTGCTGTTACTGATGCAAAGCTTCCGTGAAGGGCAGGGCATGACTGTTGAAGAGAGCAAGCGGCTTTTGCGCGTCGTATGCCACCCCGATTTCAACTCTGAAGATCTCCTAGGCTGGCGGAGCATCAAAGATGCACAAAAGTGGGCTGCGGACAAGTGGGGCGCGAAAGCACCTGAGTGGAAGACGACAATGGTTGAGGTCCCAGGGGTGTTGGAGAATGGCCGTCCCGTCTATGTGCCCTTGAAATACACGGACACTCTCAAGGTACGCCACGGGGAGGGAGTGAAGCTCTCTAACTACAGAGAATCTTCTGTTTAGGGGTGACTTAATTATCATTAATCGTATTTCGTGTTTCCAGGTGGTGCAGGCGATTTTCGAAGACCGATGCAACCAGAAAGGATTCGCACTGTACCCGAGCAAGAAATTTCGCAATGGGAAGAGGATTTATACACGCCCTCAACATTGCAACTGGTGGCTCGAAGCCCAGGTGAGTGGATGGCGATCGTGAGGGTTGTATTCTGGCCTCGGATGTGTGGGTGTGGTGCTCTGGAACCTTGGATGTGAGGTGAGTGAGTGATGACCTCGGATGTGGGTGTGTAGGGAGGGTGGGAGTGGGTGTGGAGCTCGGATTTCAGCAACAACAGGGAAGGTGGGAGTGAGTGATGAGCTCGGATGTGGGTGGGTGAGTGATGACCTCTGATGTGGGTGTGTAGGGAGGGTGGGAGTGGGTGTGGAGCTCGGATTTCAGCAACAACAGGGAAGGTGGGAGTGAGTGATGAGCTCGGATGTGGGTGGGTGAGTGATGACCTCGGATGTGGGTGTGTAGGGAGGGTGGGAGTGGGTGTGGAGCTCGGATTTCAGCAACAACAGGGAAGGTGGGAGTGAGTGATGAGCTCGGATGTGGGTGGGTGAGTGATGACCTCTGATGTGGGTGTGTAGGGAGGGTGGGATTGAGTGAGGAGCTCGGATGTGGGTGTGTAGGGCGGGTCAGCTAGAGTTGCGAGCTTTGTGCCTTTGATGCCTTCCCTTGAACTCTTCCCATCCCATCATTCCTTTCCGCAATGTAACATTGCAGAAGGCACAACGCATCAAAGAAGAAGTGATCGCTGCACTCATAGTGTACTCGGATGTCACACAATTAAGCAAAAACGACACGCAGAAGGTCTGGCCTGTCGTTTTGTCACTCGGGAATATCGCAGTTGAACACCGTTGGAAGTGCAAAGCAGATGGTGGCAATGCTGCCATTGCCTCATTCGAAGTGGAAAAGCAACGTAAAGACGGAGCTATTCCTGAAGTGTATGCAGATTGTGCTTCAGCCATTGATTGATGCCAGCAACAGGTAAGTTTCTGAACAACACTCTCTGAATTATCATTATTCTCAAAGTAGCAACAATCTAACAACATATTTTGCCCCCATGCAGCAACAATCTCAAGTTGTGTGTGGTCTGACCCGTCAGGGGTCAAACGCCTTGTGAGGCCGTTATTCTATAGCTATCCTTGCGACTACCCGGAAAGCTGCAAGGTGACAAGCACATTCCAGCACGGTAGCAACCGGCCGTGCTCTATGTGTTATGCGTTGGGTGCCGAGTGCGACAACTTGACCAAAAAATTCAAGTCGAGGAACCCAAAGGAGCAACGATTTCTGATGGGTAAATACAAGATGTTATACCAAGCAAGGAAGACTTTGGCTAAGGATTATGCCGCGCTGTGGGCTTCATTCCCTTTTCACGTACGTCCACGGCCTTCCCTAATTACCTTTTTAGAGTTTGCCCTGTGACTATGTTTTTCAAGGTTCTACCTGACCAAGGAACCCAAACCCCACTGCAGACATTCATTTGGGACTTCAAATATGCCGACACACCATGGGGTAACCCATACCTGGCGCTCATGCCTGATGTCCTTCACCAGGCGGATGTTGGGGTGTGGACGCACATCCGTGACGCCATAGCAACACTCCCCAACGCAAAAAATGGCCAGCTTGATGAGTAAGTGTTGTAGGGTATTTTATTTTCCTTACTTTCATCACAGGCATGTCCGTGCTTCTACTCTGGTTGCTGCTCTTCATGAGATAGTCTGATTCATAGCAATCTGTCTCTTGTCTGGCTAGCGTTCACAACAATACAAATGCTTCATTCCGGGGTAGGATTGCCCTGATCCGACAGTGGCTTGATATCAAGCAGTGCCTCTTGTTTTTTGCAAAGGCATGGCTGGCTTGCATTGGATTCTTGTTTGTTCCGCAATGGTGGTTTGCTGCAGTCTTAGCCATACGCATTCCTTCTTTGTCCTATTTCCCCCCATTCTCCCCCTCCCCCCTTACCCCCAAGACGCATGAAATGGCTTTGGAAGCATGGCCGCATTGCTGGTCTAAATCTTCCCGTTCCAGGAACATACTTCCAGTCGGGTGCCCGTGTCTCTGCGGCTGAGCACCGAGCCGTGATGCAAGTTTCCATTTTCATACTAGAAGGCCTTGTTGACGATGCACACTTGAAAGCAGTGCAAGCGTTCCTCCGTTGGTACAAGGCAACCTTTCGTCCTCGTTACCACACGGATGAAAGCCTCGCCAATGTGGAGCGCCTCTCCCACATGTAACTGTCCCCAACCTTCTCATTTTTGAAACCGTGTTATCTGTTCTGGTCAATCTAGGATACTCCTGTCCATATCTTTATCCCACCCTCCCCTTTCTGCACCTCTTTATCCTACGTGTGTGTGTGTTTCCATTGTTTCAAAAGATCTACACTTGTGTGTAGAGCTCAATTTTGAGTGTGGAGGTAAGTCCAGAGGGGCATGCGAGCCCGGATTGGGGCGTGGAGGTAAGTCCAGAGGGGCATGCGAGCCCGGATTGGGGCGTGGAGGTAAGTCCAGAGGGGCATGCGAGCCCGGATTGGGGCGTGGAGGTAAGTCCAGAGGGGCATGCGAGCCCGGATTGGGGCGTGGAGGTAAGTCCAGAGGGGCATGCGAGCCCGGATTGGGGCGTGGAGGTAAGTCCAGAGGGGCATGCGAGCCCGGATTGGGGCGTGGAGGTAAGTCCAGAGGGGCATGCGAGCCCGGATTGGGGCGTGGAGGTAAGTCCAGAGGGGCATGCGAGCCCGGATTGGGGCGTGGAGGTAAGTCCAGAGGGGCATGCGAGCCCGGATTGGGGCGTGGAGGTAAGTCCAGAGGGGCATGCGAGCCCGGATTGGGGCGTGGAGGTAAGTCCAGAGGGGCATGCGAGCCCGGATTGGGGCGTGGAGGTAAGTCCAGAGGGGCATGCGAGCCCGGATTGGGGCGTGGAGGTAAGTCCAGAGGGGCATGCGAGCCCGGATTGGGGCGTGGAGGTAAGTCCAGAGGGGCATGCGAGCCCGGATTGGGGCGTGGAGGTAAGTCCAGAGGGGCATGCGAGCCCGGATTGGGGCGTGGAGGTAAGTCCAGAGGGGCATGCGAGCCCGGATTGGGGCGTGGAGGTAAGTCCAGAGGGGCATGCGAGCCCGGATTGGGGCGTGGAGGTAAGTCCAGAGGGGCATGCGAGCCCGGATTGGGGCGTGGAGGTAAGTCCAGAGGGGCATGCGAGCCCGGATTGGGGCGTGGAGGTAAGTCCAGAGGGGCATGCGAGCCCGGATTGGGGCGTGGAGGTAAGTCCAGAGGGGCATGCGAGCCCGGATTGGGGCGTGGAGGTAAGTCCAGAGGGGCATGCGAGCCCGGATGGGGGCGTGGAGGTAAGTCCAGAGGGGCATGCGAGCCCGGATGGGGGCGTGGAGGTAAGTCCAGAGGGGCATGCGAGCCCGGATGGGGGCGTGGAGGTAAGTCCAGAGGGGCATGCGAGCCCGGATGGGGGCGTGGAGGTAAGTCCAGAGGGGCATGCGAGCCCGGATGGGGGCGTGGAGGTAAGTCCAGAGGGGCATGCGAGCCCGGATGGGGGCGTGGAGGTAAGTCCAGAGGGGCATGCGAGCCCGGATGGGGGCGTGGAGGTAAGTCCAGAGGGGCATGCGAGCCCGGATGGGGGCGTGGAGGTAAGTCCAGAGGGGCATGCGAGCCCGGATGGGGGCGTGGAGGTAAGTCCAGAGGGGCATGCGAGCCCGGATGGGGGCGTGGAGGTAAGTCCAGAGGGGCATGCGAGCCCGGATGGGGGCGTGGAGGTAAGTCCAGAGGGGCATGCGAGCCCGGATGGGGGCGTGGAGGTAAGTCCAGAGGGGCATGCGAGCCCGGATGGGGGCGTGGAGGTAAGTCCAGAGGGGCATGCGAGCCCGGATGGGGGCGTGGAGGTAAGTCCAGAGGGGCATGCGAGCCCGGATGGGGGCGTGGAGGTAAGTCCAGAGGGGCATGCGAGCCCGGATGGGGGCGTGGAGGTAAGTCCAGAGGGGCATGCGAGCCCGGATGGGGGCGTGGAGGTAAGTCCAGAGGGGCATGCGAGCCCGGATGGGGGCGTGGAGGTAAGTCCAGAGGGGCATGCGAGCCCGGATGGGGGCGTGGAGGTAAGTCCAGAGGGGCATGCGAGCCCGGATCGGGGCGTGGAGGTAAGTCCAGAGGGGCATGCGAGCCCGGATGGGGGCGTGGAGGTAAGTCCAGAGGGGCATGCGAGCCCGGATGGGGGCGTGGAGGTAAGTCCAGAGGGGCATGCGAGCCCGGATCGGGGCGTGGAGGTAAGTCCAGAGGGGCATGCGAGCCCGGATCGGGGCGTGGAGGTAAGTCCAGAGGGGCATGCGAGCCCGGATCGGGGCGTGGAGGTAAGTCCAGAGGGGCATGCGAGCCCGGATCGGGGCGTGGAGGTAAGTCCAGAGGGGCATGCGAGCCCGGATCGGGGCGTGGAGGTAAGTCCAGAGGGGCATGCGAGCCCGGATCGGGGCGTGGAGGTAAGTCCAGAGGGGCATGCGAGCCCGGATCGGGGCGTGGAGGTAAGTCCAGAGGGGCATGCGAGCCCGGATCGGGGCGTGGAGGTAAGTCCAGAGGGGCATGCGAGCCCGGATCGGGGCGTGGAGGTAAGTCCAGAGGGGCATGCGAGCCCGGATCGGGGCGTGGAGGTAAGTCCAGAGGGGCATGCGAGCCCGGATCGGGGCGTGGAGGTAAGTCCAGAGGGGCATGCGAGCCCGGATCGGGGCGTGGAGGTAAGTCCAGAGGGGCATGCGAGCCCGGATCGGGGCGTGGAGGTAAGTCCAGAGGGGCATGCGAGCCCGGATCGGGGCGTGGAGGTAAGTCCAGAGGGGCATGCGAGCCCGGATCGGGGCGTGGAGGTAAGTCCAGAGGGGCATGCGAGCCCGGATCGGGGCGTGGAGGTAAGTCCAGAGGGGCATGCGAGCCCGGATCGGGGCGTGGAGGTAAGTCCAGAGGGGCATGCGAGCCCGGATCGGGGCGTGGAGGTAAGTCCAGAGGGGCATGCGAGCCCGGATCGGGGCGTGGAGGTAAGTCCAGAGGGGCATGCGAGCCCGGATCGGGGCGTGGAGGTAAGTCCAGAGGGGCATGCGAGCCCGGATCGGGGCGTGGAGGTAAGTCCAGAGGGGCATGCGAGCCCGGATCGGGGCGTGGAGGTAAGTCCAGAGGGGCATGCGAGCCCGGATCGGGGCGTGGAGGTAAGTCCAGAGGGGCATGCGAGCCCGGATCGGGGCGTGGAGGTAAGTCCAGAGGGGCATGCGAGCCCGGATCGGGGCGTGGAGGTAAGTCCAGAGGGGCATGCGAGCCCGGATCGGGGCGTGGAGGTAAGTCCAGAGGGGCATGCGAGCCCGGATCGGGGCGTGGAGGTAAGTCCAGAGGGGCATGCGAGCCCGGATCGGGGCGTGGAGGTAAGTCCAGAGGGGCATGCGAGCCCGGATCGGGGCGTGGAGGTAAGTCCAGAGGGGCATGCGAGCCCGGATCGGGGCGTGGAGGTAAGTCCAGAGGGGCATGCGAGCCCGGATCGGGGCGTGGAGGTAAGTCCAGAGGGGCATGCGAGCCCGGATCGGGGCGTGGAGGTAAGTCCAGAGGGGCATGCGAGCCCGGATCGGGGCGTGGAGGTAAGTCCAGAGGGGCATGCGAGCCCGGATCGGGGCGTGGAGGTAAGTCCAGAGGGGCATGCGAGCCCGGATCGGGGCGTGGAGGTAAGTCCAGAGGGGCATGCGAGCCCGGATCGGGGCGTGGAGGTAAGTCCAGAGGGGCATGCGAGCCCGGATCGGGGCGTGGAGGTAAGTCCAGAGGGGCATGCGAGCCCGGATCGGGGCGTGGAGGTAAGTCCAGAGGGGCATGCGAGCCCGGATCGGGGCGTGGAGGTAAGTCCAGAGGGGCATGCGAGCCCGGATCGGGGCGTGGAGGTAAGTCCAGAGGGGCATGCGAGCCCGGATCGGGGCGTGGAGGTAAGTCCAGAGGGGCATGCGAGCCCGGATCGGGGCGTGGAGGTAAGTCCAGAGGGGCATGCGAGCCCGGATCGGGGCGTGGAGGTAAGTCCAGAGGGGCATGCGAGCCCGGATCGGGGCGTGGAGGTAAGTCCAGAGGGGCATGCGAGCCCGGATCGGGGCGTGGAGGTAAGTCCAGAGGGGCATGCGAGCCCGGATCGGGGCGTGGAGGTAAGTCCAGAGGGGCATGCGAGCCCGGATCGGGGCGTGGAGGTAAGTCCAGAGGGGCATGCGAGCCCGGATCGGGGCGTGGAGGTAAGTCCAGAGGGGCATGCGAGCCCGGATCGGGGCGTGGAGGTAAGTCCAGAGGGGCATGCGAGCCCGGATCGGGGCGTGGAGGTAAGTCCAGAGGGGCATGCGAGCCCGGATCGGGGCGTGGAGGTAAGTCCAGAGGGGCATGCGAGCCCGGATCGGGGCGTGGAGGTAAGTCCAGAGGGGCATGCGAGCCCGGATCGGGGCGTGGAGGTAAGTCCAGAGGGGCATGCGAGCCCGGATCGGGGCGTGGAGGTAAGTCCAGAGGGGCATGCGAGCCCGGATCGGGGCGTGGAGGTAAGTCCAGAGGGGCATGCGAGCCCGGATCGGGGCGTGGAGGTAAGTCCAGAGGGGCATGCGAGCCCGGATCGGGGCGTGGAGGTAAGTCCAGAGGGGCATGCGAGCCCGGATCGGGGCGTGGAGGTAAGTCCAGAGGGGCATGCGAGCCCGGATCGGGGCGTGGAGGTAAGTCCAGAGGGGCATGCGAGCCCGGATCGGGGCGTGGAGGTAAGTCCAGAGGGGCATGCGAGCCCGGATCGGGGCGTGGAGGTAAGTCCAGAGGGGCATGCGAGCCCGGATCGGGGCGTGGAGGTAAGTCCAGAGGGGCATGCGAGCCCGGATCGGGGCGTGGAGGTAAGTCCAGAGGGGCATGCGAGCCCGGATCGGGGCGTGGAGGTAAGTCCAGAGGGGCATGCGAGCCCGGATCGGGGCGTGGAGGTAAGTCCAGAGGGGCATGCGAGCCCGGATCGGGGCGTGGAGGTAAGTCCAGAGGGGCATGCGAGCCCGGATCGGGGCGTGGAGGTAAGTCCAGAGGGGCATGCGAGCCCGGATCGGGGCGTGGAGGTAAGTCCAGAGGGGCATGCGAGCCCGGATCGGGGCGTGGAGGTAAGTCCAGAGGGGCATGCGAGCCCGGATCGGGGCGTGGAGGTAAGTCCAGAGGGGCATGCGAGCCCGGATCGGGGCGTGGAGGTAAGTCCAGAGGGGCATGCGAGCCCGGATCGGGGCGTGGAGGTAAGTCCAGAGGGGCATGCGAGCCCGGATCGGGGCGTGGAGGTAAGTCCAGAGGGGCATGCGAGCCCGGATCGGGGCGTGGAGGTAAGTCCAGAGGGGCATGCGAGCCCGGATCGGGGCGTGGAGGTAAGTCCAGAGGGGCATGCGAGCCCGGATCGGGGCGTGGAGGTAAGTCCAGAGGGGCATGCGAGCCCGGATCGGGGCGTGGAGGTAAGTCCAGAGGGGCATGCGAGCCCGGATCGGGGCGTGGAGGTAAGTCCAGAGGGGCATGCGAGCCCGGATCGGGGCGTGGAGGTAAGTCCAGAGGGGCATGCGAGCCCGGATCGGGGCGTGGAGGTAAGTCCAGAGGGGCATGCGAGCCCGGATCGGGGCGTGGAGGTAAGTCCAGAGGGGCATGCGAGCCCGGATCGGGGCGTGGAGGTAAGTCCAGAGGGGCATGCGAGCCCGGATCGGGGCGTGGAGGTAAGTCCAGAGGGGCATGCGAGCCCGGATCGGGGCGTGGAGGTAAGTCCAGAGGGGCATGCGAGCCCGGATCGGGGCGTGGAGGTAAGTCCAGAGGGGCATGCGAGCCCGGATCGGGGCGTGGAGGTAAGTCCAGAGGGGCATGCGAGCCCGGATCGGGGCGTGGAGGTAAGTCCAGAGGGGCATGCGAGCCCGGATCGGGGCGTGGAGGTAAGTCCAGAGGGGCATGCGAGCCCGGATCGGGGCGTGGAGGTAAGTCCAGAGGGGCATGCGAGCCCGGATCGGGGCGTGGAGGTAAGTCCAGAGGGGCATGCGAGCCCGGATCGGGGCGTGGAGGTAAGTCCAGAGGGGCATGCGAGCCCGGATCGGGGCGTGGAGGTAAGTCCAGAGGGGCATGCGAGCCCGGATCGGGGCGTGGAGGTAAGTCCAGAGGGGCATGCGAGCCCGGATCGGGGCGTGGAGGTAAGTCCAGAGGGGCATGCGAGCCCGGATCGGGGCGTGGAGGTAAGTCCAGAGGGGCATGCGAGCCCGGATCGGGGCGTGGAGGTAAGTCCAGAGGGGCATGCGAGCCCGGATCGGGGCGTGGAGGTAAGTCCAGAGGGGCATGCGAGCCCGGATCGGGGCGTGGAGGTAAGTCCAGAGGGGCATGCGAGCCCGGATCGGGGCGTGGAGGTAAGTCCAGAGGGGCATGCGAGCCCGGATCGGGGCGTGGAGGTAAGTCCAGAGGGGCATGCGAGCCCGGATCGGGGCGTGGAGGTAAGTCCAGAGGGGCATGCGAGCCCGGATCGGGGCGTGGAGGTAAGTCCAGAGGGGCATGCGAGCCCGGATCGGGGCGTGGAGGTAAGTCCAGAGGGGCATGCGAGCCCGGATCGGGGCGTGGAGGTAAGTCCAGAGGGGCATGCGAGCCCGGATCGGGGCGTGGAGGTAAGTCCAGAGGGGCATGCGAGCCCGGATCGGGGCGTGGAGGTAAGTCCAGAGGGGCATGCGAGCCCGGATCGGGGCGTGGAGGTAAGTCCAGAGGGGCATGCGAGCCCGGATCGGGGCGTGGAGGTAAGTCCAGAGGGGCATGCGAGCCCGGATCGGGGCGTGGAGGTAAGTCCAGAGGGGCATGCGAGCCCGGATCGGGGCGTGGAGGTAAGTCCAGAGGGGCATGCGAGCCCGGATCGGGGCGTGGAGGTAAGTCCAGAGGGGCATGCGAGCCCGGATCGGGGCGTGGAGGTAAGTCCAGAGGGGCATGCGAGCCCGGATCGGGGCGTGGAGGTAAGTCCAGAGGGGCATGCGAGCCCGGATCGGGGCGTGGAGGTAAGTCCAGAGGGGCATGCGAGCCCGGATCGGGGCGTGGAGGTAAGTCCAGAGGGGCATGCGAGCCCGGATCGGGGCGTGGAGGTAAGTCCAGAGGGGCATGCGAGCCCGGATCGGGGCGTGGAGGTAAGTCCAGAGGGGCATGCGAGCCCGGATCGGGGCGTGGAGGTAAGTCCAGAGGGGTATGCGAGCCCGGATCGGGGCGTGGAGGTAAGTCCAGAGGGGTATGCGAGCCCGGATCGGGGCGTGGAGGTAAGTCCAGAGGGGTATGCGAGCCCGGATCGGGGCGTGGAGGTAAGTCCAGAGGGGTATGCGAGCCCGGATCGGGGCGTGGAGGTAAGTCCAGAGGGGTATGCGAGCCCGGATCGGGGCGTGGAGGTAAGTCCAGAGGGGTATGCGAGCCCGGATCGGGGCGTGGAGGTAAGTCCAGAGGGGTATGCGAGCCCGGATCGGGGCGTGGAGGTAAGTCCAGAGGGGTATGCGAGCCCGGATCGGGGCGTGGAGGTAAGTCCAGAGGGGTATGCGAGCCCGGATCGGGGCGTGGAGGTAAGTCCAGAGGGGTATGCGAGCCCGGATCGGGGCGTGGAGGTAAGTCCAGAGGGGTATGCGAGCCCGGATCGGGGCGTGGAGGTAAGTCCAGAGGGGTATGCGAGCCCGGATCGGGGCGTGGAGGTAAGTCCAGAGGGGTATGCGAGCCCGGATCGGGGCGTGGAGGTAAGTCCAGAGGGGTATGCGAGCCCGGATCGGGGCGTGGAGGTAAGTCCAGAGGGGTATGCGAGCCCGGATCGGGGCGTGGAGGTAAGTCCAGAGGGGTATGCGAGCCCGGATCGGGGCGTGGAGGTAAGTCCAGAGGGGTATGCGAGCCCGGATCGGGGCGTGGAGGTAAGTCCAGAGGGGTATGCGAGCCCGGATCGGGGCGTGGAGGTAAGTCCAGAGGGGTATGCGAGCCCGGATCGGGGCGTGGAGGTAAGTCCAGAGGGGTATGCGAGCCCGGATCGGGGCGTGGAGGTAAGTCCAGAGGGGTATGCGAGCCCGGATCGGGGCGTGGAGGTAAGTCCAGAGGGGTATGCGAGCCCGGATCGGGGCGTGGAGGTAAGTCCAGAGGGGTATGCGAGCCCGGATCGGGGCGTGGAGGTAAGTCCAGAGGGGTATGCGAGCCCGGATCGGGGCGTGGAGGTAAGTCCAGAGGGGTATGCGAGCCCGGATCGGGGCGTGGAGGTAAGTCCAGAGGGGTATGCGAGCCCGGATCGGGGCGTGGAGGTAAGTCCAGAGGGGTATGCGAGCCCGGATCGGGGCGTGGAGGTAAGTCCAGAGGGGTATGCGAGCCCGGATCGGGGCGTGGAGGTAAGTCCAGAGGGGTATGCGAGCCCGGATCGGGGCGTGGAGGTAAGTCCAGAGGGGTATGCGAGCCCGGATCGGGGCGTGGAGGTAAGTCCAGAGGGGTATGCGAGCCCGGATCGGGGCGTGGAGGTAAGTCCAGAGGGGTATGCGAGCCCGGATCGGGGCGTGGAGGTAAGTCCAGAGGGGTATGCGAGCCCGGATCGGGGCGTGGAGGTAAGTCCAGAGGGGTATGCGAGCCCGGATCGGGGCGTGGAGGTAAGTCCAGAGGGGTATGCGAGCCCGGATCGGGGCGTGGAGGTAAGTCCAGAGGGGTATGCGAGCCCGGATCGGGGCGTGGAGGTAAGTCCAGAGGGGTATGCGAGCCCGGATCGGGGCGTGGAGGTAAGTCCAGAGGGGTATGCGAGCCCGGATCGGGGCGTGGAGGTAAGTCCAGAGGGGTATGCGAGCCCGGATCGGGGCGTGGAGGTAAGTCCAGAGGGGTATGCGAGCCCGGATCGGGGCGTGGAGGTAAGTCCAGAGGGGTATGCGAGCCCGGATCGGGGCGTGGAGGTAAGTCCAGAGGGGTATGCGAGCTCGGATCGGGGCGTGGAGGTAAGTCCAGAGGGGTATGCGAGCTCGGAAGCGTGGAGGTAAGTCCAGAGGGGTATGCGAGCTCGGATCGGGAAGTCCAGAGTGGATTGAGTGTGTAGGGCAGATATTGTTTCTCTCAACGGCCATCATCATCCCTTCTCTCCCCCCAGGATGATCGACAAACTTAAGGGTGCATTCCCAACACAGGCATCTCTCTGGAAGGTTGTGAAAGTGCACATGGTAGTGCACTATGCCGATGCCATTCGAAGGGGTGGCTTGCCGGAGGAGTATTCCACCAACATGTACGAACACTTCCACAAAATCACCGTGAAACGGCCATACCGGGCATCAAATCGAAGGCAATGGACAGAGTCGATTATCAAGAGCAACCAATTCCTCCACATGCTAGCTCAGGTCGAAAGTGACAAAGGAGGAGAGAGACTACAACTGCGCGTTCTACGAGGTATGTGTGTTGTGGCGGTTGTTGGTGGGAGCGGTGCTACAATATAGGTTGATGTTTGTGTCTCGCCGCCACCAGGCACATACTCATTTCCTACCCCACCATGCCACAGGCTGAAACCACTTCAAAACGTGTTTTTCTGAGGACACATGTGGTCATGCACATGGCTGCAAGCAAGCATCGCCGAGGCAACACTGACCAATTCGCATTGTACAACGCTGCTGTTGGTGGCCGCCTCGACACTTTGGAGACGGACCTTGGTACAGCAGGCATCTCAGCCGCCTCCCTCCATGTGAGTAATCCTGGATACTCATCCGTACACTCCCTCCCATCCACCCTTCCCTCCTCGCACATTCCCCTCTCCTCTCTGGCCTGCCACACTCCCTCCCATCCCCCTTTCCCTCCTCGCACATTCCCCTCTCCTCTCTGGCCCACCACACTTCCTCCCATCCCCCCTTCCCTCCTCGAACATTCCCCTCGGCTCTCTGGCCTGCCACACTCCCTCCCATCCCCCCTTCCCTCCTCGCACATTCCCCTCGGCTCTCTGGCCTGCCACACTCCCTCCCATCCCCCTTTCCCTCCTCGCACATTCCCCTCTCCTCTCTGGCCTGCCACACTTCCTCCCATCCCCCCTTCCCTCCTCGCACATTCCCCTCGGCTCTCTGGCCTGCCACACTCCCTCCCATCCCCCCTTCCCTCCTCGCACATTCCCCTCGGCTCTCTGGCCTGCCACACTCCCTTCCATCCCCCCTTCCCTCCTCTAACACTTCCGTCTCCTCTCTGGCTGCACCACCCCCACCTGCAGGTCTACACCGGCGTGGCGATTCTAGGCGGCCCTCAAGAGTACCACTCCAGGGTCACTCACTTCATTCGTGCAAACCCGTCACACCACGGCAACCCGTGGTTCTCCCATGTGGCCATTAGTGGAGGGGAGGAGGTGTGGTACGCAGAGGTACTTCTCCTCTTTAAGCACGCTCAGAGCAACAAGGGGTTTGCCTATGTTCAGTACTATGAGGTGGTTGGTAATGATGATGCTACTGGTTGCAAGCGCCTGGAGTGGGCTAAGTAGCAGAGATTGTACCGTTATGTCGTGGAGGTGGACTCGGTGTTCCGTGCCGTCCACATTGTCGAGTCGTTTAAGCGTCGAGGCTGTTTTTTTCTCAACGACTATTTGTTTGACTAGATGCGACTTTACTATGACATATTCATGACATGTATCGCCAAGTAATATTGGATTGCTTTCAAAGAATCAAAATTGTCTGAACAAAGTCATGCAGGTCAGAAAATTAACACTTAGTGAAGAAGTATCTGAAAAAAATATTATATCACATGTTTCTGAAATTCAAAAACATATCGAAAATGCATTGTATACAGTCTGGTAGCCTTTTACCAACCAAACGAGTCAGCGATTTCGACCACTGTTTGACGAACGGAAAAAAACCCTACTGAAACCGGGTCCCCAATTTTTGCGATGTGTGCTGTGCCATCAAACGGATCTCTCGCGGGAGATTATGCGTACATCCTGATGACGTGGCCGTTGACGTCACATTCAACTGCAGCCATGTGTCGCAGTCCCTGCCTCTCACCCACGTGTCTCTGCCTTGTATGCCGCTCCATGCAGATGCCAGCATCTCCAACACGCCCACTGCCATCATTCATGCCAATGCAGTAACATACCATGCCATGCCATGCCATGCCATGTGATGCCATGCCGTGCCATGCCATGTGATGCCATGCCGTGCCATGCCGTGCCATGCCGTGCCGTGCCATGCCATGCCATCCCAAACGCCATAGCACCACGGTGAGACACCATCTGCGGCACAGGGCTCACATGTGGTCACATGTGGAAACCGAAGGTCAAAGTCGAGATACGCACAAAATCAAACCGTCCGTGCCAAGCCATGCCACGTAGCAAAGATAATGCCGTGAGCTCAAACCAGTAGAATATGTGGGTTGGTTCGAAACTTCCCTCCGATGGAGGGCGGTTACCCCGAGGTACCTACAACGGCTTGCCAACAACTACCGTCGATCTTCCCCCTCACACAAGGCCAGGAGTCACCCACGCTGTTCCTTACACTGCGTTGCAGAGGATTTTTCACCAATGGATCATAAACGAAATCATGAAAACGGTAACCAGATAAACTAAGAACAAATATCTAGATTCGCAACAGGAGGAAATGTCCATCAGTGAATGATCCAACGGGGGTGAAACACGCATATACACTGGTCATCACTCTAAACAATAACACGTCTCAAAACGAAGACTCTGATAAAGGATTCACTATGATGCCAATGTGTCAGCAAGTGTGAATCGAGAGCGTCACACGTACTGGCACGGTGCAGTGACTTAAAGCAGCGGTATACATTTGGCAGTGGGAAGGCCAAAACTTTATAAAAGGTACAAGGTGGTAACCAAATTACAGGGTCTCTCGACTTCGGACACAGCGACAAGTTCAACACCATCCCCTCTCACCTGACTCACTCGTCAAAAGTTTATGGCTAGCCAAAAGTACACTGAAGGACATGCCTCCTCACCACTATCCCCACCCCCAGAGCGCTCTAAGTCATCACTAAATAGGTAAATTCCAAAAACACTGCAATCCGGTTTTTTTCGTCTGGGCAAAATGGTGTTCCATCACTGTACAAACTGAACAGTAGCGCCAAATGTATACCGCTGCTTTAATATGCGAGGCGGCCTCGCACGCACGCGGTGGCAGGTCAAGCACGGGTGCAGCTGCGAGAGGAATGCACTGCATGGAAAAGGAAAACGGCCAAATTATGCCTGACGCGGTTTGCAAGCGTACTCAACTTCGATTTCTCATCGCTGATTGGTTCTCGCTTTTCAATCACACTTTTCAGGCTAAAAACACCTCCGAAATGTCATAGAAACAAAACGCGATAACCAAACTTAATTAAACAATATTGTGTGGAGGTGCTACCTTACAATAGACAAAAAAACATTGAATACTCAACCCTTTACAAAGAAAATTTGCATAAAGCGAGTGCGAATTCCGTAAAGATAAAAAACCCATTGGAAAAAAATGCAGACTAGGAATAACTTAACGGAATAGGGTCGACGATATAATGCGACAAGGTTTTAAGGGTTGATGTCATCTTTACTGGATGCCTTTCAGTAGGAGGGCTGTTTTTAATTGGCTTTCGGGTAGCAAGCTTCGCTGGGAGGTGTTGTTTGTTCTAGCATATAGACCTAAACACTAGACGACATCCCGCATTTAGGGTTAACATCACCAGATTATTTCTTGGTTATCCAAGCGTTTTAGTATGTTCCCTTTTTGGTTGGGCATGTTCGGACCTGCTGGTAGCGACTTTGTTTCAGTTTTGTGCTTATAATTCTTTAGCCAGGTATTTGTACTCACTATACGGCGAATTTGTCGGTTGAGTACGCTTGCAAACCGCGTCAGGCATAATTTGAGTATCAATGAAGTTGGCCGCATCACTTCAAGGCAACCACACGAAATTCACCTCAGCCAGTCAGCTCTGGCTTCTGACGTACGTTGCTTCGGCCAACTTCATTGATACTCAAATTATGCCTGACGCGGTTTGCAAGCGTACTCATCTTTGATTTCTCATCGCTGATTGGTTCTCGCTTTTCAATCACACTTTTCAGGCTCAAAACACCTCCGAAATGTGATAGAAACAGAACGCGATAACTGAACTTCATTAGACAACATTGTGTGGAGGTGCTACCTTACAATAGACAAAAAAACATTGAATATCAACCCTTTACAAAGAAAATTTGTATAACGCGCGAATTTCGTAAAGATAAAAACCCAGTGGAAAAATTGCAGATTAGGAATATTTAACGGAATAGGGTCGACGACATCATGCGACAAGGTGTTAAGGGTTGATGCCATCCTTACTGGATGCCTTTCAGTAGCAGGGTTGTTTTTAATTGCCCTTCGGGTAGCAAGCTCCGCTGGGCGGTGTTGTTTGTTGTAGCATAAAAATCTAAACACTATAGAACATCCCGTATTTACGGTTAACATTACCAGATTATTTCTTGGTTATCCAAGCGTTTTAGTATGTTCCCTTTTTGGTTGGATATGTGTGGTCCTGATGGTGGCGACTTCGTTTCAGTATTGTGCTTATAATAGTTTGAATACGTATTTGTACTGACTATACTGCGAAATTGTCGGTTGAGTACGTTTGCAAACCGTGTCAGGCATAATTTGAGTATCAATGAAGTTGGCCGAAAGGAAAATTGCGATTTGGGGGGTCCGAAGGTTTTTCTGCGAAAAACCTGCGACTTAGTTGCGCGAAGTGTACAAAAAACAACGCACGCAAAATGCAACAATCCGCACACCAGTGTCGAGGGTTTTGACTGAAACAAAATCCACAGTCACGCAAAAGTGTCCATTCCGTCAACATTTTCGCGTCGTGCGGTGACGCACGGTCAACACAGATTACAAGCGGTTTAGCACTGTGACAATGTTTGACAAATGTAACAACAGAACAAACGAAACAATGCGAAGCAACGAAACCAAGCGAGTTTGTACAGCTGGAAACCCGCTTTCGCTTTTTCCAAATCTGAACCCAAACCAACCAACTCCAAACCTCAGACGGTCGATGTCTTCTTCAGAAGTGTGACGTGTGAGGCTAAAAATCATTTTCACCCAATCCGCACACGCCGAAATATACACGTCAGCCACCCAACCAAACATCCACCGAATATGCTCTCACCTTCTCCCAGAGAATCCATCTCCCACAATTCACACAACCAACCTCGTTCTCCCCTCCTCTTCCTCATTGTTCCCTTTGATGTGCAGCAGAAGCGCGCTCCAAGTTCCTTCAAGCCGACAACTATGTGGCCTTTTAGAACGCCCTGACTAGGTTGCGTGCCAAGTAAGTATTCTATTTTTTTCCCTGCCATCCCTGTCCCTTTCGCACATCCCTCTACTTCTCAGACGGCGGCTTCGTTCCGCCATCAACGTCGCGCTTCAGTAACTTCGTTGGCTGCTGGGGTACACGTGAGTCGCGGCGAGGAAGGACATTGTCACGCAACATCGCAGGTAAGTTTACAGTTGTTATCTCGCAGGTGATGTTGTCCTTATTTTATTTTATTGTGCAGTCTTAAATTACATTATCTGCATGTTCATACTCATCTCAATGTGACGTTTCCTATCTCCGTTTCGTGCGTAGCAACCGTCGTCGCGAAGATCCATATGTTGCGACTAAAGCAGTCGCAACAGCTTTTACTGCTTTTACTCTGCTAACTCAATGTGACTTTGGTGTCTAACTCTGCTTTTACTAACCCCGCTGACGCATCGTCAGCGGGATGCATAACAGCACCCTGTATTTGCATGTTTTGCAGAGTGTACCTAGTTTCGCAGGCTTACCGTCGCAGTATGTTTATTTTTAGCCATTTAAGCACTTGACTCTACAAACCATCAACGATTAAAAGAAGGTGAGTACGAAACTGCATACTTTGCGTTTTTCAGGAGTACTCATCTCCTATGCTGTGTTTGCATGTGTTGCATAGCGTGCCTGGTTTTGCCGGCTTACTGTCAACCCGGAGTGCAGTACATATTTTTTTTCTTCACCATTCCAGCATACTCCACCACTAAGAACCCCAATGGTGAGCATATAGTATGGCTTTTAAAGTTTCAATTTCCTTTGTTCTTCCCGGTTACATTCGTTTTCTAACTGGCAGAGCTTGCAGGGCTTCTTAGCCGTGCATTATGTGTAGTGTAGTACTGTTTTCATTTGTATGCCTTGTAAGCAAAACGTTTAAAAGAATAAATGTTTTAAACCACCAAAAGCGCACACCAATATAGGAGATTCGTCAACCGGATACAGACGCTTTCGCCAGCAAATGAAATTCGATTCCTCACACCCCATTTTGCATCAGATTGGTCCACATGGCACGATTACGGGTGTTGATATTGTCAGGATCCGACGGTTCACGTTAGCGTACAGAAACTGCCACGTCAGCATGTTTCAGTTTCATCTAGCGTACATTGTATGCCACGTGGCGCTGTCGTGACACTTTCGCACAGGTTGCTCAAGAGTGACGTTTTCCACCCCCATAGTTGCATTACCGTATACCTCACAATTGCACCGAAGTGTACAGTTTGTGTTGGGAATGTGACGGGAAAGTCACTTCGCAAGTTACTGACGCTACCACTGTTTACGAGTCAAACTTTTTTCTTGCGCGGAAAATGCAACTGGAAAGTTACGAAACAGTAACTTTTAGGTTTTTTTTCGCACTTCCCTTTTCCGCGATGCAGCAGTGCGTCACCGTCACTGCCATTAGTACTATTAGTAGTACCGCCGCACTCGCCATTCCGCTGCGCGACTCTGCCGACCACCCTCCCCGTGATGCTTGTGACCAAAGAATCGTGGGCGAGTGTCGTCGCAAAGTAGCTACTAGTACAGTGACTACAACATCTCGGTGCAAACGCTAGTTTTAATATTAGCAAGTCGCTTGAAGTCGCTTTTAGAAACACAACAAGAAAGGACGGAATGGCACCATCCATTCTAGCTGCGGGCAAAACTCAACTTCGTACTAAGAAGGTTTTCGCCGAGTTCCGCCGCATGCCACATCTCATGCCGTCTCCTCTCCGTCAGCGGTGGAGTTGACCTGTAAAATCATTTTCAGTGGAAGGCTTAAAATGAATTTGTCTTGTATCGCTCTGCTCTCGATACTGCAGAAAGGAAATATCTTTCTATGGGAGGTACAGCATCGGTCGAGAGAGATGCATGCGAGGCCAGCACAGCTTTGAGGAGCGTGCGAACGACACCAAAGGGCCCTGCTGGACTCGCAGATAGGGTTTGGCTGGCAGACCGAAGCACACGCCTGTCCTGATTGATCTTTTGTGCAGACGGTGAATCATGAAGCAGCGAAGGGCGTGCTTTGACCTGCGCGACCTTAGCTGAGCTGTCAGCAGCAGCTTTCCCGAAGCACGGGCCAGAGTTCTCACTGATTCGTAGTAAGAACTTCCCTCGCAGGGCTGTCAATAACAGGGCATATCAACTGAGTACCAAATTCAAATAGCAAGACATGAATTACTCAATTTATGACTAAAACCCTTTAGGGTTGCGAAGCAATTTGCGCAAAAGAGTACGTCCAAAATTCGATCATTCGACCCCCTGTTCAAGGTGCCTTTTCATAACCACAACCAATTTCATATGCGGTTTTATTTTCCGATAGTGTACCGAGTATAAGGTTTTGTCACAAACGAAGAAACAGCCATCGCACAATGAACAACTCTTTCAGAATTCGAACCCGCCCCCTCCTGTTCAATAAGCCCTACTGATCTATGTCATTTGAGGCACAACAGTGAGGTTAGGTTTATGTACCCCCACCAACCTTAGTCAAAAGCATTTTATTCTTGACATGGTATCATATAGGTTCGGATCCTGTGAGATCTCGTTCCTCTCGTTCACGTCCGTAACGACCGAGCCTGTCCCGTACGCTAGTGCCGGTTACGCCCGTACTGTCCCCTAGCACCTCTCGCGCTCGTCTCTCTCGTGCCCTAGCGCCCGCTGCGCCTGCCGTCACGTCGCGCCTGCTGTTCCGTCCTGTCACGTTGCGCCTGCTGCCCGTCGCCCCTGCTGTTCCGTCGCGTCACGCTATCTCGTTGCGTCACGTCCGTCCCGTCCCGTTGCATGCGCCGCGCCTCTCCGTCCCGCCGCGCCGCGCCGTCCCTCTCGTCCCGTCCCGCCACGTCGCGCTGTCCATCCGCGTCGTGCTGCCCGTCCCGTCTCGCCGCATCGCACCTGCCCGTTTCGTCCGCTCGCGTCGTGCTGCCCGTCCCGCCACGTCGCGCTACCCTTGCCCGTAGTGCCGCGCCTTTCTAGTCCCGCCGTGTCGCGCCCTACCCTGCGTCCCCTAGCGCCCTAGGCCTCCAACTCTGCCAGTCACGCCCTACTGAGCCGCTCTAAGTGTTTAGGGTTTCGACAGCAGCACTTCCCACCTCTTTGCTTCTGCTATGGCGACCCCTAGGGCCCTGCGCTTTGACGTCGAGGGTAGGCCGCTCGAGTTCTCGGTCTGGCTCCTGCGTCCGCGCCACCTTTTAGAGAGTCAGGTTCAGGCAGATGAGTCTCTGTGGGCTCACGCTCCCGGCGACCTTCCTAAGCCCGACGACCGTGCACCCTTAGGTACTGACCCCAGTACTGCTGACAGAGACTGTTATGCCCGCCAGCGTGCTGACCTAACAGCGTGGACGTCGCGTGATGCTGCGGCCTGCATCGCCCTCAGCAGCCTCCTCCCTGAGTCTGAAGGAAGCTCACTTCACTCAGGTTCGCGCGCCTAGTGAGATCTTGAGTGCGATCAAGGCCTGCTACGCCACTCCCACCACTGTCTCTCTTGGTCGCCTGTTCCTCCCGTTCCTCTTTCCTAATCTCGCCTCGTTTGAGCGCTCTGCTGACTTGATCGCTCACCTGCGCTCGCTCGATTCTAGCTACTTCGCTGCCTGCACTGACGCGCAACTTGCACTGCTCCCTCCCCCTATGGCGATTACTATCTATTTCATCGCCACTAGCCTCCCTGGTTGCCTTGCCTCAGTTCGTAACGCGCTTCTTCTGAAGCACCCTAGCGAGCTCACTATCGAGGTCCTTGAGTCTGCCCTCAAGGACGTCGAGAGCAACCTCCGCTCGGTAGCCTCCGCCTCTGGTGCTGTGCCCCCTCCACTGTTTCACGAGTTTACTGTCCCTCAACCGCCCACCTTTACTGCCTCCCTCGCCACTGCCGCTCCTTACGTGACCGCAGCTGCTGTCAGGAGTGACAGGAGGGGCGGTCAGGGTGCGGGCAGAGGCAGCGGAGGCGGCGGAGGTGGCGTGGCGAGCGGCGGTGGCGGGAGTACAGAGGTTGGAGGAGCACCTCGTGCAGCGGCTAGTGACTGCCCTGCTGTAGCTGGTTGAGGTGACGCTCGGGTTCGTCAGGCACCTGCTGGTCCGCCTGCTGCAGGGTACTTGACTCAGCGGCAGCGGCAGTAGCAGCAGAGGTAGCAGCAGGCTCCGGGGTAGGGGTCAGGACCACGTCAGCTGTCGCGTGGTGTCGTCCATCCTCCCTGTACCTATCTCGTTCAGACAGGTGCTCGCCGAGGCCTCCCCTGTGGCCGCACTCATCCACCGGGTCAGTGCTTTGCTCAGCCAACTGAAACACTTTGTGCGGCCTACGTTGTTGATGGCCCTGCCCCTGACTGGCTTCCCCTTGTACAGGCGTACGACCCCGCTCTGAGGGGCATGTCGGCTTCTCAGTTTCTTGGTCTTTTAGGAACTCCTCATGCTATGTATGATTTTGTTGACTCTAGTGCTTATGTCTTTGTTTACTCAAGTATTGTTAGCTTCGGTGCTAGTGTTTCTGAGGTGCCTGTTGCTAGCGTAGGTACTTGTGTAGACAGTAGTCCAGGAGCTGCTCCGGAGGACATTTTGCTGTCTTTCACTATGGACTCTGGAGCTTCACACTGTTTCTTTCGCGACCACATGACGCTTACTCCGCTTCTTGCGCCAGTCTCTGTGGCACTGGCTAATCCCACTTCGGGAATAATCACTGCTCTTTACACTACTACGCTTCCGTGCCCAGCTGTTCCGTCGGGTTTCATGACGGGCTTCCACGTCCCGTCGTTCTCCAAGAACTTGATGGGTGTGAGGCCGCTCGTGAGTAGCCACGTGGGTGTCTGGATCGAGCCTTCTGGCGAGACTGCGGTTTGTGTCGACGGGGACACAACGCGCCTCTGGCCACCTTTACCACTGAGCTGGGCTTTAGTCTCTACACACTTCACACTAGCCCCCGAGGGCAACAGCAGCAGCTGCTGTTGCTGCCTCCGACCCCTGTCACTGCCCCCCGTCAGGTCCCCGCGTCTCACCAGGTTGCTGCCTCCCACCAGGTAGCTATGTCTGGTCTGGTTCCAACTTCTGGACAGGTCGCTGCGTCTTGCTCGTGTCGGTCGCTTGCCCACCCCACCGTTCTGTGGCACCACCGTCCATTCCTCGCTCGCGCACAATGTCTAGTCAGCGTCTCATCTTAGGCCTCCTGTGAGTCTTGCTGTCGCTACCGCCTTCGCTTGCACCACCTTGCGCCCCTTGCATCGAGGATCGGTTGCGTGCCACCCCTCACTCCTCCTCCCTTCGTCCGGCCACTGAGCCTTTCGAGACTCTCAACTTGGATGTCTGGGGCCCCCGCCCCTTGCCCTGGCCCTGAGAGAGAGAGAGTTTCTTTCTCGTAGTCGTTGACGACCACAGTGTTCCCCCTGGCGAAGAAGTCTGAGGTGACTTCTACGCTGATCCAATGATTACTTACCACTGCGGACACTTGTGGTCGTCGTGTCAGCAGTCTTCACTTCGGCCGCGGGGGTGAGTTTTGCTCCGGCATTCTCGCTGGATTCTGTCGCGAGCAGGGCATCCGTCAGTCCTGGACGCTTCCAGAGTCCCCACAGCAGAATGGGGTTGCTGAACGGCGCATAGGCTTGGTTATGGAGATTGCATGCACCTCCATGATCCACGCCCATGCGCCCCATTTTCTATGGCCCTACACGGTTCGGTACGCCACTCACTAGCAGAACCTTTGGCCACGTGTATCTCGGCCAGAGGCTTCACCGACCAGTCTTTGGACCGGGTCCCCTGGTGCTGCGTCGCGTTTTCGTGTCTGGGGCTGCTTGGCGCTTGTTCGTGACACGTCCGCGGATAAGTTCTCCCCTCATGCCCTTACCCGTGTCTTCCTTGGTTTCCCCGAGCACTCCTCTGACTTCATCTTTTACCACCCTCCCCTTCACCGGTTCTTTGACTCCAACGACATTCGTTTTTTTTCGAGTCAGTCCCCTACTACACCCGGTACCCCTATCAAGGTCTTTCGGTTTCTCATCCGCCTCTCTTCCTGACTCCCACCCCCCCTCCTGCCCCTCCGGTACAGCCCCCCCCCTCTAGTCCAGCTCCGTCAGGTGTGTCACACACTATCCCCCCCCCTTGGTAGCCCCTCAGGTGCCGTCCCCTTCCCCACAGTCCTCCTCACAGCCTACTGCAGACCCTGCGGGAGCAAGTGCTAGTGTCGAGGACCTTGGGGGTGCTACCTCTAGAGGTGTTGGAGTTGGAGCTGAGACTATGCTTGCACGAGGCCCTAGTTCTGGGGGTGCTAGAGTTGGAGCTGAGCTCGTGTCTGCAGGAGGTTCTGGTCTTCGGGGAGCTAGTGTTGGTCGAGCTGTCCCTGGGGGTGTTACGACTGGGGACGCGGGTACGCCATCTACAGGACGTGGAGAGCCTGGGGCTGGTCGCAATACTGCTGGTGGTGCTGAATCTGGGGGTGGTGCGACTAGTGCTTTGGAGAGCGTTCCTGGGGCAAGCGGTCCTGGGGCTACCACCGCCCCGTGCACTATTCCTCCCCCCCACCCCTACCCGATCTGGCACCAGCACCATCTTCGCCGTGCACATGAGGAGTAGCTGGAGTTGGAGCGAGAGGAGCGAGAGTTGCAGCGGCAGCAGCTGGAGCTACAGCAGCTGGAGGAGCAGCAGCAGCTGCAGGCGCAGCACCCACAGCTGCAGGAGTAGTTGGAGCAGCAGCAGCCACAGCTGGAGGAGCCGCAGCCACCGCAGCAGGAGCAGCAGTAGCAGCTGCCGCAGCAGTAGCAGCTGCCGCAGCAGGAGCAGCAGCAGCAGCCGCCATTGCAAGAGCAGCAGCAATAGCTGCCGCAGCAGGAGCAGCATGAGCAGCAGGAGCAGCCGCCTCAGTAGCAGTAGCAGCAGCAGCAACAGCAGCAATGGCGGCGGCCGCCACCTCCGCCTGCTGTCTCTGGCCTTCGGGTTCTCGGTCCCCCCTCTCCCTCTCATCCTCCCTCTCCCTCTCCTCCTATCTACGGTCCCACGTTTCCTCCTCCTGAATCGCCCTCACTGCTTCCCTCTCTACTCCTGTCACTGACTACTACCTGTTCTCTCTTGTGTTCTCGCCTCTCTAATTTCAGACCCTCGTGCCTCTCTGTCCTCTGTCTCCGCTCTTACTGCCGCAGTCACTGAGTTTGCCTCTACTCGCCGCCTTTACTACACCACCAGTCTTGTGGCTGCTCCTCCTACCAGTCCTCCGGCCCTCGGGGGTGAGTCTGCCCTTGGCTGTGACGCCCTAGAGGACAGGCAGTTTGAGCTGGAGTTCCTAAGCAGCTTCCCCTCATCTCTGTGCCACGCTGCTCGCTCCTGAGGAAGACCCCGGCGCCCTTGACATGCCGTCTCCTTGCAATTACGCTGAGGCAGTGTCAGAGCCTTGGGCCTCTCAACGGAGAGCTGCCATGGACGCAGAGATGGCCTCCTACAGATCCACAGGCACCTACGTCGACAAGGTTCCCCCTCCTGGGGCGAACGTAGTCGATGGCATGTGGATCTTCAGGGTGAAGCGGCAGTCAGCTTGAGAAATTGACTTCTTTCAGACCTCGCGCCTACCCCGAAGATGACCACTCTTTGGGTGTTACTACACGTAGCAGCACAGAGAGACTACGAGCTACACTCTCTCGACTTCTCCACTGCCTTCCTTCAGGGTAGCCTACACGAGGAGGTCTGGTTGCGTCATCCTTCTGTCTTCACTGTCACTTTTCCTCCTGGGACCCAGTGGAGTCTGAGGCAACTGGTCTACGATCTCCGTCAGGCTCCTCGTGAGTGGCACGACACCCTTCGTTCTACCTGTTTGACCTCGGTTTCCAGCCGTCTTCTGCCGACCCGTCGGTGTTTGCTCGTCGTGGCTCCACACCATTCTTTGTACTGGTCTACGTTGACGACCTAGTTTTGGCCACTGCTGATAGGGTTGCTTTGGCTGACGTGAAGCGCGAACTATAGAAGAGACACACGTGCACTAACCTTGGTGAGCTACGCCACCACCTTGGACCGCAGATCACCAGAGACAGAGCCGCTCGCACCATTACACTCTCACAGTCACACATGGTGCAGCAGGTCCTTCAGCGGTTCGAGCTTCAGCACTCCACAGTATAGCGCACACCTCTTGCCGTTGACCACAGACTCACTGGTCCCTTTCCTAACAAGCTGTTTGAGCCTAGTGGTCCCTACGCAGAGCTTGTGGGCTGCCTCATGTACCTGATAACTTGTACTCGCCCGGACCTCGCCTTCCCTCTCAGCATCCTTGCTCGCTTTGTTGCGCCAGGGAACTCCATCCAGTTTACTGGACAGCTGCTGTGAGGGTGGCGAAGTACCTAGCGACAACATAACAAGAGTTCAGATCTGAAAAATGACGAGTTTGACAAACCTTACCATCCCAACCCTCGCCCTACAATAATCCACAACAACCAAATGTGCCAAACTAGCAACACTAAAGGTGTTGTAGTAAGTAGCAAAGGTTTCTTGGTGCATGTTGGGTGCGAGTTGCAACAAGTTTAGCAGTCATGTTTTTCTCAAGCCTTTAGCCCATAACCAGCAATAGAAAAATGCCACAACTGCCTATACAATTAACACTCCTCCTTGCTCTTGCTGGAGGTGGCTAAACACCACTGGGCAATCCTTGCAATCCTCTCTCCCTTCCTCAGGAAGGGGCGTCATCCACAGCATGACGTCGTCAAGGCAGAGAAGCACCAATCCTCCCACATCCTGCTCAGGCACCATGCCATCATGAGGCTACATACCCATCAAGAACATACACACACCATGCTGCTCAAATGGAAGGGTTTTGGTGAGTATGTCTGCTGCTTGGCGGTTGGTCGGACACCACCAGAGGATCACCTTGCCACTAGCCACCATCTCCCTGATGAAATGCCACCAGACTTGCATGTGCTTGGTGCGGCCATGCAAGCATGGATTTTATGCAAGGGCAATGGCAGACTGGTTGTCCACAAACACAAGCACACGACTAGCAAACTCACGCCCAAGCTCCCCAAACAGATGCTTCAATCACAGACTCTCTTGAATGCACTAACACAGAATGATGTACGCACTCTCTGTGGTAACAATGCAACTATCAGCTGCCTCTTGCTTTGCCAAGAAATTGCTGCATCATTGAGGCAGTAGACATAGCCAGTGTAACTCTTGCAATCAGCTGAATCTCCAGCATAATCTGTTGTATGATGCAAATGTATGCATTCACGTCTGTGTGCCTCCCGTCATATGTTCATGCGTTGCATGTGCAGTGTGAACGTATGCAAGAATTTGTGTTTGGTGTGATCTGGATTATGTGGGTCTATCTGAATGTTGTTTGGCTTGATAACTGTCTGAAATAACTTCTCTGCTTGAGAGCTTTTGGACGAACCAAGAATCGTCGTGATTAGAGCACGAACGAGAAAGTTATGATCGTTCAAAGTTTTTTATTGTGATGCCGCGACTATGGGATTTGGCGGAATGACTCAGTATGGGATATAGACTATTGGGAGTTGGGAAATTCGTCACTTATACTATAGATGATGCTAAGTGGCTGGGAGAAGCCAAACCAGGTTGGCAAGTGTGGCCAAGTTGGAGTGAGGAGGGTTTGAGAGGTTGGGAAAGACAACGGTCAAAGTTGGGATGCCTATAGGGAGGGAAAATGTGAGCTTATGGGGTTTCCTTGGTTGGCGACTCCGTTGGGACCTTCCCTCTTATCCTCCTCATCTCCCCTACCTGGTTTCTAGCTACTCTATTTATCTTGTGTGGTTCTTGTTGAACAATTGCGAGTGAGTTAAACAACAGCACAAGCATTGAGGGGTATGCTTAGTGTGACACCAGCAGCTGTAGCAGCTTCAGCAACGTGCTCCACTACGTGCCCCACGCCCGCCTGAGCGTCCTAGGAGGGATGTGCGCCCTCCTGTCAGGCTGAGCAATCATTCGCCGTGCCACAAGGAATGTGGAGCAGGCTGGGAGTGTGGCTGAGCAGTGTGATGAGGAGGAGATAGCGTCATTCCTATTAAGCCCAAGACGCTTGCCGAGGCGTTGAGTTTGCCCGATGCTGAAAAGTGGAAGCAGAGTGTGAAGGAGGAATAAAACTCTCTGCTGGAGAATGAGACGTGGGAGCTGTGTGAGCTGCCTCCTGAAAAGAAGGAAATCTCTTCGAAGCTGATCTTCAGGCACAAGTATGAACCTGATAAGGAGCCGACCCGCTACAAGTCAAGGTTTGTGGCAAAGGGGTTTTAGCAGACAAATGGAAAGGACATCGACGAGTTTTTTGCTCCGGTGGGAAAGAGCACAACACAAAGGGTAACATTGCCAACGGCTGCAAACCGCGGATGAAAGATCAAATATGAATATCACCACTGCTTTCGTCAAAGGGATCATTCTGGAGGAGCTGTACATGCTGCAGCCTGAGGGGTTGGATGATGGGAGCGGCAGGGTGTGCAGGCTGAAGAAGGCCATCTATGGCCTGAAGCAAGGTCATCGTGCATGGTACCACAAGCTAGAGGAGACACTGCTGGCTGGGGGGTTCAAGAAGAGTGAGTGCGATCATAGCTTGTTCCTGCTGCAAGAGAAGGAGCAGTTCCTCATGCTCCTGGTGTATGTGGATAACATCCTACTCTTCTCTGGATCGTCTGCGATGGTTAGCCGTATGAAGGAGATGCTGGAGATGTAGTTCAAGTGTTCCAAGTTGAGAGATGTGAAGTATTACCTTGGGATGCATGTGGAGAGGGACCTCGACAAGGGAGTGTTGAGGTTGCACCAGAGGAAGTACTGTGAGGGGCTAGCGGAGAAGTATGGGCTGCAAAATGGAGGAAAGCAAGCTACCCCACTAACTTCGGGGTTCACTGTAGAGCCCTGTGATGATGAGGAGGTGGTGGGCGAGAGCGACAAGAAGCTGCTTGATTCCATGGTTGGGGCACTCAACTATGCGGCTAACCACACGCAGCCTAACATTGCCTTTGCAACATCCAAGCTTGCGAGTGTGGTTTCACGCCCCAGTCATGAGCAGCTGGAAGCGGCCAATAGGTTGGTCCGCTATATGAGTGCTACAACATCTGTGGGTTTGGAGTACAGTGCTGTGAGGCAAAGGCAGCAGCGGGGTACGGCTGATTTGAGCAAGGGCGAGAAGCTCTTGACTTGCTACACCGACGCCAGTTTCAACTCAGTGAAGGCGTATGACACCAGCATTGGAGGCTATGTGTACCTCTTTTGAGGTGGTGCAGTGAACTGGCGCAGTAAGGAGCAGAATAAGGTGGGGCTGTCCTCATGTGAGACTGTCTACATGGCCTCGCATCATGGGGCCAAAGAGGTGGTGTGGCAGAGGCATTTGCTGTAGTACACTGGAGTTGGTCAGAAGAAGTCGACTGTGATGTTCTGTGACAATGAGTGGGCAGTGAAGTTAACCAAGAATGCTTGTCTGCATGGGCTGACAAAGCACATCAGGCCCAAGTGGCACTGGGTGAGGAGGATCTTGGACAAGGAGGTGCGGTTGGGCATTGTGAAGACCCAACAGCAGGCGGCTGATATCCTCACCAAGCGCCTGGCTGAACCGGAGCATTGGAAGGGCATGAAGCTTGCTGGAATGAGTGTGCATTGATTATGCAAGCATGATCTGAGGCAGGTGGGATGATGGTTGGTAGCCACGGGGGGAGTTTGTTGTGTGATGCAACCTTTTGCATTCACGTATGTCTGCCTCCCATCATATATTTGTGTGTTGCATGCGTGGTATGAGTGTGTGCAAGAATTTGTGTTTGGTGTGGTTTGGATTCTCTGAGTGTGTGTGAATATTCTTTTCAGCTTGAGAGCTTTCTAATGAACCAAGAATTGACGCGATCGGAGAAAGAATAAGAAATATATG